GGGGCGGCCGCGGAGGTGCGGAGGGAGGGCCGAGAGGAGCGGGAGGGGCGGCTCGCGCCTGAGCGCCAGAGGTGGCGCCTTCAGCCCCGGACAATCTGCGCGCGGGCGGAGGCGTTAGAGCCAACCTGGCAACGCGGCCTCCCCCGGGAGCCGCGAGCGCCCTTTCGGCGAGCATTGGCGCCGCCGCCTCCCGGCCGCGCCAGGCGAAAGGAGGGAAAGAAGGAGGGGCGGCCGAGCCCCACGCGTCAGCGGGGATGGACAAGTGCACTATTCTTACTTCCTTTTCTTCCCAAGCCAACCACAAAGCACTAAATAAACGTGGAGTGACACTCGCCAAAGCGAGACTCTGGCATTTGCTCTGCCCTGCAGGATTTAGTGAGGATATAGAATTCCAGCAGAGACTCCCCCGAACAGCCCCCAGATTACAGCAGTCCCTTCCCGCAAACATGGGAAGAAGCATTCTGGGTCTTGAATCACTAACTGCCACTTCGTCTCTTATGGCCTGATGACAAGAGCCGCTCCTCACACGCCCCAGCCACGCACTTTTCCCGGTCAGTGGTGCCTATCACAGCCAGCCTTTCAAAGAGGGTCAATTAAGTGACATCTACAAATCCTCCAACGGTTTCTGAAAGCGCCAGGGTGGACAGTCCCAAATCCCCGGAAGCCCCGTCTCTATCTCCCCTGGTGTCCTCAGCTGCCCACCGCAACGTTTTGCTGCTCTCTTTAGAGCCGGTCTCGCACGCAGTGCCACAGTCTTAGCTGCCCTTCCCAAGCTGAGTCCTCTCCCAGGAAGAGGCACCCTTGGGTTGAGGGGGCCTCTCTCAGGACCAGTCATACCCATCCCATTTGAACAATCATCTGCAATTGGAATCCTCTCACCGTACCCTCCTATTTGGCATCTGGTTATCACCTTATACCTAGTGAAAATCTTTTAAAGTGTCATCATTCTCCTTTATTTGCATTCATTATCTGGAGTAGAAATAAGTGGGGGATGGTAACTGAGTGGTAGAGCTGGAATAGACCTAGAGACCTTCTGGCCATCTTCAGATGCAGGAACCGATCTGAAGTGAGGTCCACCAGCTACAGTTGGTGTGGTATGGCTGATGGTGAGGAGCTCTGGCTTTAGCATCAGAGTCCCTGAGGATGGGAACCAGACTTCACCCATGACCAGATTAGTGAGCCCCAGGTCCTTAGGAAAAACAGTAACACTAACCTCAGTAGAGTTGCTATGAAGATGAATGAAATTATCTATTTAAAGTGACTGGTGCTTAGTATGGATAAATTACTGTTGGGTTTTTAAAGCAGCCTTTTCAGCTACACTTCCAGCTTCCCACAGCCTGTTGCTGGCTCTGTCTCCTGGTTCCTCTGGTTCCTGAGTAGCTCAGCCACTTGCCAGTCCATCTCCACCCCTCTACTTACCCACCTTCCAGTCTGAAAAGTGAGTAGGAGAGCCCTTGGCTGAGTGTTGGGGAGATCTCTACACATGGTGACCATCACAGGACCAGGATAGGCCCATTTTCCAAATATTCATCAATGAGTTCCAAATTAGGATAGAAAAATATGGGCATTAGGAGCTGTCTGGTTAGCTCAGTTGGTTAGAGTGTGGTGCTGATGACACCAAGGTCCAGGATTCAATCCCTGTACCAGCCAGCTGCCAAAAAGAAAAAGGAAAAATATGGGCATTGTACAATAGATTATCTATGGCAACAGGAACTGGAATAGCATGATTTTATGACTCCTAGGCTGGATGATTCTGGAACCAATCACCCATAGCAATCTTGGCTGAGTGGAGTAGATACTGGTGAAGACAACTCCTCCCAAAGTCACTCTTTGGCAGATGAGGTAGATCCTACCTCCTTACAGCCAGGCTGAGGGCCTCAGGTAGTTTGGGACTGGGGACCTGTGATATGATATTCCTCCTCTTCCTTTTACACCACCACAGATCTCCCCAACCAGCATGGGGAACACCACTCCCCTCTCCAAGGAGGAGAAAGTCCCTGGAGAGCTTAGCATATCAACATTCCAGGAGAGGAGAGACTCAAGGGGCCCAGAGTAAGACACCTGGATCTGGAGAGCACTTGGAGGATTCACGTGGATAGAACTGCAAGGAAGTTTCTATAAACTTGCTTTGACTTTGTTTGCTTTTTATGTGTATTTGTCATACATTTTGATTTATTCTAAATGCAGTAGAACATAACTGGGCTTCCCCCCCCCCTAAACTTTTAAAGATTTTTTCCAATCATATAGAAAATTTGAAAGAAGTGCAATGAACAACCATATGTTCACCCCCAATTAATATTTTCCCATATTTGCTCTATCTCTATTTCTTTGCTCCAAGTTCTGCATAACCCCTCCTCCTCCCATCTTGTGCACGCTACCACTAGCCTTCATTTCTTGAGGACTTGCTACGTGCCAGTGTGTGTGCTGGTGGGTTTGTATGGAGCATCTCATTAGAACCACACCTCAAGGGGCCGAGCCTGTGGCGCACTCGGGAGAGTGCGGTGCTGGGAGCGCAGCAGCGCTCCCCACCGCGGGTTCAGATCCTATATAGGGATGACAGGTGCGCTCACAGCGCTCACTGGCTGAGCGCGGTGCAGCCGGTCTCAAAAAAAAAAAAAAGAACCACACCTCAAGCCTATCAAATAGGTGCTATTGTTAGTCCCACCTTTACAAGAGGAGACACAGATATAAAAATGTGACTTGCTTAAGGTCGCCCAGCATATTGGCTCCAGAGCTCAGTTGCTTAATTGCTACTTTATACTGCCTGACAACATTTAAGCTTAATCTTATTTAGGCTTCACAACAACCCTGGTGTCAATTGTAGAGCTCAGACAGGTTAAGAGATTTGGTGTAAGTGATAGAGCCTCAGGGCCTACAGAAGATTCACAACAGTGAGAATGAAGATAATGTGACAGCTGTAGACTCAAAGAACTTCAGCAATTTTCTTGTTTCCCAACTCAGTTTTCCCATCTGTGAAACTGAGTCCTGTAACATGACTGGAGGTAAGAATTGTGTTAGCTCTCCAAATGTGTACTCTATGGCCCCTATCGAATGGAGAGTTAATAACTTGTCCAGCACCTATCTTGGAAAGGGGTTTGGGGGAATTTTCAGGAACCTATGGGGGGGGGGGTGTTTAGCAGTATGGCTAAGAGTAGGGCTCCGGACTCAAATCACCTGTCTTCAAATCCTGGCTACTCCACCATTGTTTAACCTCTCTTCACTCCAGTGTCTTTTGAAAAATGGGACAATAGCCTCTGCTTCACAGAATTGTTGGAAGATTTAAATAACGAATGCTGAACACAGCACCTGGTAAATGGTAAGCACTCCATATAGCCATGATTACTATTATGCCATTGTTACCCTGGCACTCACATGTAGCAGCAAGAACAGTTGAAGCATGTGTCTGTGGAGTAAATGGGCTCCGCTTGCAATGGCCATAAATGCGTGCCTGACAACATTTAATGTTCCAACATTCCTCAGTTGTACCCGGGGATTCTCGGTATCTGGTTATCTCACTTCACCCTCCGCTAAGGGGCCTGAGCTGTCCCCAAAGCTTCCCAGCCCCGCATCTCCCACACTAGAAAGTAAAACCCTGGCCCCTGTGGACAGCATGTACCTCTGTGGGTTCTATTTAGCCTCACACCCTTTTAGACCTGGTGGTGCACAATCCCAAGCCTCTAGGCACTGAGGTCGCGGGACCCAAGCCTACAAGTGACCCTGACTCGCCTTATCATTGGAACCGCAGCATCCTGGACCTCGCCCAACCTGGCATATCCGCAGAGAGATGCCAACCAGAATGGACTGGGAGGGAGGGAAAAGATCCCTCGAATGGTGCCGACCGACCCTATACCCGAGCTATCTTCACCTTCCTTCCCCACGGACAGACACGTGCAAGAGCAGCAGTCAGACAAACCACAACAAACAGCCTCTTTATTGGGGAAAGACTCGGCTCCCTCGTGTTCTCTCAGCAAAATAAATAACCTCTAGATGCTAGTATTGTACACTATTTGCAGTCGGGATCCCTGAACCCTTCTCTACGGACTAATACTGCACTCTTTTGAATCAATGGGAGAGGTCCAGCAGCCGGACCAGGGAATAAAAAGAGACCAAGGGTCTGTTTTAGTTCGAGGTGGGGGACAGGCTGCACTTCTCGCAGATCTGGAAGGGCAGCATGTGAGTCAGAGAGGTACTGTTTATGGCCACCAGCAGCCGCAGCTTGCCCAGGCAGTCTTGCAGCGCCGTCTCGTGGTGCCCGCCCAGGCGCAGGTCCACGGGGCGCGGGAGCTGCAACATGCAGTCTGCCAGCTCCAGGCAGCATATAGCCAGCAGGGAGGGGGCGTAGCTGGTGAAGGCGTAGTCGGCCAGGCTAAGCTCGGCCACTGCCCGCGCTAGGGCTTGCGCTTCCAGGGCTTCGGAGACCTCCGCCTGTCCCGCCTCCACGCGAGCGTGCGTGAAGTGCTCCAGGAAGAAGCTGATGGTGGGCGCGCCCAGGCTGAAGTGCAGCTTGTGCAGCACGATGCACTCGAGATTGCACAGCTGCTGCCGGGAGAAGGCGCCACAGCACAGGGCCAGGAGCTGCTTCACGCGCGGCGGGGGCACCTCCACCTGCAACACAGGGAGCGCTCTGCCCCCGCCTTGCGGCTTCCAGGGCCGGAGGCCCACACCCCTGAAACCTAGGAGAAAACCGGGACTCCCCCCATCCCTTCCAGAGAAAGAGCCGAGGCTTTACCTCTCCCCTATTTCCACTTAAATCACCTGGGGCATACTTCCAAGCGCAGTTTCTCTACTGTCCGACGAAAAAAAAAGTTTGGGAAATTTTGAAGTTTTTTTCCGTACTAGAATAGAGGCGCCACAGAGAGATGTTTGGGAGTGACTACAGCCTATTTCTTTGGGGGCTGAGTGACAGGATTGTTAGTTTGTGGGAGAGTTGTGAAGTTAAGACTGCAGGATACGTAAATATGTAAATGTCTGCCAAATGAGTTCAAGGTACCCAGTACTGAACTGTGCGCGCCGGAGAGCTGCGCGGCCATAGAGTGGCGGGGAGTTTGGCTGCGCGCCCCCTGCCCCCAATGCTGCGTGGAGGTACCTGTTTGCAAGCGATGAGCAGGGAGGTGACCCCGAGCAGCTGGAAACAGTCTGCGGCTACCGGCGTGGTGGTGAGGAAACGGTCCAGAGTGTTCACCGTCAGGCACAGCGACTCGAAGGAGAGACTGAATTGGCGGTGCACGGGGATCAGCCAGCTGAGCAGCTTACAGCGGGATTCCGCCGTCACCTGCCGGGAGGGAGGAGGGAGGCGGGCCGGCTGAGCTTTGGGCGGAGAGGGGCTGCGGAAAGGAAGGGCGAAGAAGATTCAGGGAGCTTCCCCGGAGGGAGGCAGGGGGAAGAGAAAGCTAAATGCACTGGAAACTGGGAAACACGCGGACAGCGCTGCTGCGGAACCAGCGCTGACCTGGCTGGAAGCCGGGACTCCTGGATTCGTGTCTGGCGCTGTGCCGAGCGCATACTTATTACCTCGTTGTAATCCTCTCAGCAACTCAGTGGAAGGGGGCTAGTCCATTTTGCAGATGAAGAAACAAGCTCAGAATTGTTAAATAACTTGCCCAATGTCGGTAGCAGTACGGACTAGACCTAGAAACTAACTCCTCTGCACTCTACCGTGCCCCACTAGACAGCTTGGAAACTTGGGTCAGGTCACCTAAGCCACCTACTCCCAACTTTTCTCCATCTGTAAAATAAGGCCGGTGACCTGCCCTTCCAAGGACCCTTCTGTTCCAGCTGGGGGCGGGAACCGGGGCGCCGCGGAGGGCAGACACCGCAGGAAAGGAGACAGCCTGGGAGAAGAGGATGAGCGGAGGCAGGGAGTCGGCTCTGCCAGCGCCTCACTTGTGGCTGCCGCGCCAGCGGCTCCCGCGGGTGGAAGTGGCTCTCCTGCGCCTTGTAGAAGGCGTAGCAGCTCTGGCCGTAGTCGCGAAAGGTCTGTAGATCTAGGTGCTCCAACGGCTGGGCAGGGCTAGGCAGGGGGCTGCAGCCCCGCGCCGCAGACGCCGCGGGGCTGCATGCGCCATCCGAGCCGGAGCTGGGGGATTCGAGCAGGTCGTAAACACCGGAGTCACCGGGAAGAGGGCACGGGTTCAGGGGCTGCAGCGGCTGCTTCCTCCGGAGGCGCGGGCGCCTGCTCTTCTTCACCGGGGCACGGAGGTTCTGGTGGTTGTCTCTCCTCCCCGCGCGGGCAGCGGGGCTCGTGGGGCTGGTAGGGCAGGGGGTCACCATGACGCAACCGGGTGGCCGCCTTACTACCCACAAAGCCCCAGCTGCGGAGGGCAACAAACGCGCGCACGACAGTGAGGAGGCAGGGTCTGACTGCCGCCGCGGGCCTAAGTATCCAGCCTGCCCCTTCCCTCCACCACGCCCCTGGCCTGGCATTGGCTGAGCCCAGAGCGGCACGAGAGCCGCGCTTTCTCAGCTGGAGAACCTCTCCTCCCACCCAGCCCCAGCAGCGCGTCGTCTCGGTGGTCCGCGAGCGGGAGGAGGAGCTGCGCGCCCCCTTCAGCTGCAGTCTCCATGCGCGTCCTGCGTTACCCGGGCAACCCGAGCCCTGGGCGCTACCAGAGCTAGGCACGCGGAGTGGGTGCGAGTGGGGCGGCTGTCCGGCTGAGGGGCTCGGCTACGCCGGGGAAATAGATTCTCCTAGGGGGCACCTTCCTGTCCTTGGCCAGATGGTCTGGACACTTGCGAGCACCTTCCATGCCGGCTCTGATCCATGTCGGTACTCTTGTTAAAAGTCTGCTTCTGAGCTCCAAACGAAGTTAAGCCTACAATTCAGTTCTTCCTGTCCTTGGCCAGATGGTCTGGACACTTGCGAGCACCTTCCATGCCGGCTCTGATCCAGGTCGGTACTCTTGTTAAAAGTCTGCTTCTGAGCTCCAAACGAAGTTAAGCCTACAATTCAGTGACCCATACAAGCAGTAATGCTAATTCTGTTGTGTTTGTGGTTTTTGCTTCAGTTAGCACTGGAGTAGCCAGTAGCCTTCCGCCGGTGTCGGGGAGCCGAGCCTGGGCATGTTCCTCTGTGCCTTTGTGTATGTAGGAGCTAGTCCAGCCAGCCGGGAATTCGTGCTCAAAACAAAACAGAAAACTGCCCAGAGGACCTCAAGCAGCGTGTCTGCAGTCCTGTAAATTCTTTCTCCCGCACTGTCTGCCTCGAGCCAATTAAGCTGAGGTCGCAGCGGTTGAAGAACATTACATTGCTGGAGGATTACATTTCTAGTTTTATCGAATTGCCCACACCCTGTTGTGTTTCAGGTCATTAGCTTCTGACGCCCCAGGCAACCCAGTCCTTTCTTCGTTATTCCCTGAGTCCCCTTTCCCGCTCCTTTAGGGCGAGAAGCTCATGGAGATAGCGCTGGAAAGGGGACGCCCAGGCAGACTGGACATGGCAGTTTCCTCAAGGCATCGCTGGTTTAGTCTGTAGACTCCTGTCCTGGTAGAAGCTGGAGTCCTTCTCAGCCTGAATGAATCTTCCCGAGGGTCTCTGACGTTTAGGAGGCGGGCGCTGAGAGCATAAGTAGCTTGTAATCAACTTTACAGGCATTTCCCAGTGGCAGAAAGCCAAGATACCCTCAGCCTGATGAAATTTCCAGAGGTGCTCCAAGAGGCCAGGTTACTAGGTGCCATACCAAGAGCCAATTCAGCCGACCTCACTTTATTCCAGAAGAAAGCTGATAAATGTATCTAATAGAAGTGCAAATTTCTGTCCCTAGAAATTTAGTAGAGGGTGGGGTGCTGTCTCCTAGAGATGCAAGTGAAAGAAAAGGCATGGATTTCGAGTTCTGGTCACTGTTACGCCTATTTCCCTGTAATTCTGAGTGAGCAGTTGATTCTCCCAACCTAACTGTCATCGGTGACATGGGAAATTAGCTGAGAATCACCTGGGAGGGGTTTTTGAAGTACAGGTGCCAGGCCTCCCTGTCCCCTCCCAGTCTATCATTGAGGAAAATTATGGGAAGAGCAATTGAATCTGTGGAAAGGAATCAGATATCAGACTTCTTCCTAGAGAAGCTTTCTGGGTGAGGAGGAAGAACCTAGGAATTCTGATTCTTCATAGTGGCCCAGATGGGAAGAACATATATCTATTGAGTGCCTACTATGTGCTAGGCACTTTTCTAAGTGCTGGGAATACAGCATTGAATAAAATAGACCAAAACAATAAAGCCTCTGGAGATCTGGTTAAGGTCAAAAAGAAAATTTCATTTGGTTCCATTCAGTTAAGCCTTTACTGTAAAGACAGAACTCAGGGTAAAGAACACAATATTTAATTAATATGCATATGTAAGTACAAGTGGTTATCTTTTGTTCTAAAAATTCCTTTCCTTACAAAGCTTACGTTTTAGTGGAGGAAGACATAATAATCAAATAAGTATGTGTTTAATATGTAAGATGGTGAAAAGAGCTAAGAAAAATAAAGCAGGAAAGGGGAATAGGAACTATAGGGCATGAGGATTATAGGAATTTTAAAAGGGAGCAAGAAAAGCCTCACTGAGCAGTTGATATTTGAGCAAAGACCTGAGGGAGTGAGTCTTGTGTGTTCTGGGAAAATTCGTGTTTTTGGCTTCCAGACAAAGGGAACAACATGTGCAAAGGCCCTGAGACAGGAGTGTGTCTTGAACAGAGTTAGGGGTGAGAGTAGTGGGGGATGATGGCAGAGAAGTTCTGACAAAGAATGCCTAGATTTTGTAAATCAAATATATTATTACAATTAATATCATCTGCTTCTTTTTACTTTTTAAAATGTGATTTCTGGAAACTTTAAAATTACATGTGTGGCTTACATCATATTCCTATTGCACAGCGCTGTTTTAGAAGGATCAGCCAGGCTGAGAATACATGTGGGTGGTAGGAGGTGGGGATACAGGAAGGAACAGAAAACCACCTAAGAGGCTATTAAAATAATCCAGGTGAGGGGCCGGCCCGTGGCTCACTCAGGAGAGTGCGGTGCTGATAACACCAAGGCCATGGGTTCGGATCCCATGTAGGGATGGCCGGTTTGCTCAATGGGTGACTGTGGTGCTAACAACACCAAGTCAAGGGTTAAGATCCCTTACCGGTCATCTTTAAAAAAATAAAAATAAAAAATAAAAAAAATAATCCAGGTGAGACATGATGGTGCCTTGAACCACGATGGAAGTAGTAGAGGTGGTGAGAAGTGATTAGATTCTATAGGCTAACAGGATTTGGTGTAAAGATAGACTAACAGGATTTGTGTAAAGATATAGGGCATGAGAGAGTCAAGGATGAACCCGAATTTCCTGAGTAACTAACTGAAAAGATTAAGTTGCCAGTAACTGAGATGGGAAAGAACTAAAGGAAGAAAAAGGTTTTATGGAGTAGATAAGGAGTTCGATTTGAGCGTGTTAAGCTTTAGATACCTGTCTCTCAGGCATCCATGTGAGGATGTTGAGTAGGTATTTGAATACACAAGTCAGGAGTTTAGGAGTAAGTTCAGGACTAGAGATGTGAAGTTGGGTGTCATCAATGAATAAGGCGAAATAACAGGATCTACATTAAATGAGCAGTTTTGTGGTGCTCCCTCCCTCATACCACAATGTTTTCCTGATCTACTACTTCCTCATCATAGAACACACTATTTAAACTCAGTTCAATGTAGTTTTAGATGGGATGCATAAAGTGACATCCCTGCACATCCCTGATCCAGTGCTCCACCTTCTAAAGTTTTTAACCAAGACTCAGAGACATTAGTGCCACATTCTCCTTTCCTTGGTATTTATGATATGAACAATATGGTCCAAGGTAAGGAGGTTTTATTTTTCCTGTGAAATGTCTTTAAAATTAACTTCTGTTTACTAATCTCTCTGGGACCTAGGCCAAATGAGCCTTAAAGGCACCAAGTAAACCTAAAATACCTTAAAAATGTAAAACCTAATTAAACTCAGGCTTTCATAATGAAAGCTGCTTAGGCACCATTTGGCTTGTTTATTTTCAGGTGTGGTTTGTGAACTCTGCAAGGGAGTATTAATATAATGGAACCAAAGTGTTTTTTTTTTTTTTTTTTTCTAGTTTGTCACTTCAGCTTGAGACAAGAATTCCCACCCTCATGCTGTCCCAGTTCTATGACGGGTTGAAGTAGGAACAATGCATCTACTGACAGTACCTTGTTCTAGCAAACAAAGCAAATAGGTTGCCACCTAACTGTGAACAACTTTGTTAGTGCCTTAAGTAATCCCGAAACTCAGTTTTAATGTCACTAAAAATTATAATATTTACTTATAACTCTATTTTCTATCCATGTATTTAAGCAACAAAATTGAGAAGTATTTAAGGTACTTGAAGTCTGACAAGTTTTGCTGGTATTTAGTAAACAAAAGGCAGGAATTTTCAACACATTTTTTAAACTCAGACGTTTGACTTACACGTCTAAAAGTCCACCTGGGGAAAGGCTATCTCTTTGTTTCTTGCCTTCCTGGCCTTTTGCCAGTTCCTAGTTCATCAAAGGTTCGGTATGCAAGCTGAAGTGCGCTGCTTCTCCCCTCATGATCAGATGTGATTTTCTCCCAACTCACACCCACCTGACAATCTGCCCAGCACAGGTGGTACTGTGCAATGGTTAAGAGGTGGCTCTGGAGTCAAACTCCTGACTTTGAGTCCAGCTGCAGCACACTACTTCTGTAAACTCGGGCAAGTTACTCAACCTCTTTATTCCTCAGTTTCCCTAGCTGTTAAAAAAAATGGGGTAGTAAGAGTATCCTATGAGATTGTTGGGAGGATTAAATAAGACACATAATATGTTCATATAGTGTTCAATATTATCAGCTGCAATGATTTTATTTTTTTCCAGCTAAGTTTATAAGGTATGTATCTTTTTGTCACTCAAGGTGGCTGGGAAAAAGAATACCTGTTCTTCAGCTTGTTAGGACTTCTATGAGTGTGTGTGTGATTTATAGTTGTAAAGAGGCTACTATTCATATTACAGTTCCACTGCATCTGAGATCTGAGGCTTATCTTTGAGTGTGTAACCTGGGGTAAAATTTAAGAAGTTTTACTTCTGTAAAGTGTATGTCTCTTTGCTACATTCAGATGCTGAATTCCAGCTGTTAGAAGAAAAATGTAATATTGGGGTGGAAGGACTCTAGCAGCAACCTCTGTCTTTCCAGGGTCTGGATCAGAAGTAGACATCAAGAACTAAAACGGTAGTAATTATGCTCGAAGCCAGCCCAGGCCTCAGCAGCTTTCTCACACTATGAGATACTAAGGGACTTGTCTTGGTGGGCCTTGAAAGCATTTCCTTGACATGTGATTGTAGCCTGATGCTAACTCTGCTGGGTTTCCTTCAGGTGATGGGATTGCCCGTGTAGGCTCAGGGGTGTCAGGAGCAGCAAGTCCTCCTGACACTGTGTATAACATTTAAAGTGTTGCAATTCATTTTTGATATGGTCAA